TCTCGCTCTCTCATTTGACGAATCCGGGAAAAAACACTTAAGCATGTGTCATTTTCCACAAATATTCGAAGTTCGAATGTTAGCGAACTTCGCATTTTCACCTATCCTCTGATGTGACTGTGGTCTTTTTGGTGCTCCGTGGATTTGAACAACTACACAAGTTCGCTCGCATCCGAACTTCATGTATTGTCCAAACGGGGTAATTGAATAACCTCGTCCGAATCCGACCTTCAAACGTTGGTCAAATCTGCTGCCGAACTTCACATATCGCGAAACAGAACAGCAGAAGAAGTTCGGATGCCGGCGGACTTGGCAATATTATGGGCAAACATACTTCGTCAGTTGTCCTTTCTCGCCAACATTTGAAGTTCGGATGCCAGCAAACTTCGTGTTTTCACCTGTCCTCCACTGTGATAAGGGTCTTCATGGTTCCCCGTAAAACTGGAGAACACCACAAGTTCGCCGACATCTGAACTTCATGTATTGTTCAAATGAGCGACCGAATGAGTTTCACGGCATCCAAAATTCAGGTGGTGGCTAAATCTGCTGCCCAACTTTACATATCGTGAACAGGGACAACAAAAGAAGTTTGGATGGCGGCGGACTTGAACCTACTCCTGGCAATATACTGATGTTTGAACCCGAAATTTAGCAAAGTCTGTCAGCATCCGAACTTCCTCTCCTCTCCTTGCGACACTGCGAAGATCCCGATAACCAGGGTCCACGTCGTGCCGCAAGGAAAGCGTAAGAAGTTCGGATGCCGGCGGACCGCGGAATTTCGGCTTCATAAACATCAGTAGATTTCGTTTCCCGCAATAGTGTAAAGTTGGGATGCCAGGGAACTTCGTGTTTGCACCCATCATCGACTGTGAATGTGCTCTTCCAGGCGCCGCAACGACAACAAAAGAAATTCCGTCTGTAAACGGAAATCCCCACAAGTTCGTCGGCTTCCAAACTTCGCTCAGTGTCCAAACCGGGGTGGTGGAGAAGTGTGTTGGAGTTCGGACTGTAAATATATGTCGAATTAGTTGCAAAACAACAAATAAAGTTCGGATGTCGGTGGACTTAGCCAAATTCCAGATCAATGACCTCCAAAAACCGCTCTTTGTCCCCAATATTTCAGCTCAGATGTTGAAGAACTTTCTATTTCATCCCTTCCCTCACTGCGACTGGGGTATTCCTGGTGTCGCATTGGATCCCGGAACACTGGAAGTTCGCCGACATCCGAACTATGAATATTGGGGATCTCCAAGGTCGCGCGGCTTCGGTCGATGTTTGTCAGGATCCGAACGTCAAACAATGCGGCAAGTGCCATGTGGTTCACTGTCGCTATCCGTAAGGCATCGACCTTCGCAAAAAACGGGAGAGAACTCCAAGTCCCTTTCGACGAACGTGGGAATTGGGGGTCCCCCAATGTGTTCTCCAAAGATACTTACCGTGTTCACCCTTCCTACAATTTCCGAAGTCCCAATCCCGGTGAACTTCGGGTGTGCCCTTCAGTTGCTATCAATGCCCATGTCAAGGTTAGCCGCGTCAAGGCCCCTGGAACCGCGCTTAAAAGGATGACCAAAACTGCCATCGGACCCCGGTGGAAGCCTTGTCATTGTGACCAGGGCAACTTCGAAGGACCTGTAGCTTTAAAACTCTGTTAATTCAACCAGAAACGAAAATTCTGCCATGACAGGATAAAAATCCAAGGCCGCACGGCTTCGGTCAAAGTTCGCCGGGATCCGAACTTCAAACAATGGGCAAATGTCGTGTGGTTCGCTGTCGCTGTCGACACGAATTCGTTATTTGCAGAAAACAAAAGAAAACTCTTAAACCGTTTTAACAAACATGAGAATTGAGGGTTTCGTGCTGTGTTCTGCAAAGATAATTTTCGTGTTCCACACAACCCTTCCCGCAAGGTTCGAAGTTCGGATCCCGTCGAACTTAGGGTATGTCCTCACGCTGTGATCAATGCGTATGTCAAGCGCAAGGAATAGTCGGATGACGGGTGTTCCCTACACAAAGATTGCTCGCGTTGTTCAAAGTGGGGTGTTGGAGGGCCTTCGTGTGCGATGTTCGTCGTAATCCAAACTTCGTGCTTTTGAAACGATGGAATGAGGCCGACATGTGCAGCTCAGGGTTCACCGCCTTCGACAGAACCTGCGTTGTGGTTTGACGGTGACCGGACTATTGCTGCAGAGGTTAACCCAATCCTGACCGTGTGGTGGGTTGTTTTATTTGTGTTGTCATTCGCAGAAAAGATGTCTTCATCAAGGGGTGAGGGGGAACCTGCTAGGACCTCCGGGAAGGAATCAGGAAAAATCTCCACAAGACGGTCGTCTACGGCCTTGAAATCGTGGTCGAACCACACGAGGTCGAAATGGTTCGTCAACCGGTGTTGTGGAGATGCTTCCAACCCTGTTGCGCAACCGTGTGGTCCTGTCATATCCGTTGACGACAACAAGCGACGTAGAGTGCTTGGGGTCATCTTGCGGTGGGAGGACGCGAAGGGGGGATGACGACGATTCTATATGAAAATTGTTTACGATGCTAAGGGCAACGTCGTTGCCAATTCCAATGGGGCGCTGTTGGAAATGGATTTGTTCGAGGGGTTCAGATCGGGTGCTGTGAACAGCCCGTTCTACAGCGAACTCCTTCGCTTGGACGGATTTGTTTTGGCTCGAGAATTTTTTAACTTGTTGGAGAAAAAGGACATCGATCCCGACGACCCCTGCAACGTCGGCCTTGGCTAAGAGCTGTCAATGCCCTTGCAGTTGTGCAGCGGTTGTGAATCCAGCGGGGTTGTGCTGGAGGGGGGGATTTGGGTTCTGGTGCGACTACTCAGTCGGACCAGAGTGAGAGCCGTGGTCAATTTGACGACAGCGAAGATGAGGTGTCGCCGTAGATGACAATTTCGTTGTTGAGGCAAAGAGACCGGTCCATGTTGTCTATACATGGAGTCCGGCATGCCGCTCCGATTCGAGGAGAGCTTGCGGCGGCTGCAGGAAAGGTGGCAGTCTATTCGGAGGCCGGCTTGGGGACTAGCGAGGGCCAGGGTACGGAGGAGGAAACTGCGGGCAGGGAGGGCACGCAGGGCACTCGCAAAAGAGAAGGGGAGATCGTTAAGATGAGATGGTCAGCTCTTCGAAGAAATTGAAGACCAAGGCCCCAAAGAATGTGGGGGAGAAACGAAAGGGAGTCGAGGGGGAGCAGGGTCGCCCGGGTACCAAACGTCCGACTTCGAAACAGAAGCACCCTGCGTCAGGACTTTCCACACCACGGCCTCCCATCGACGTCGACGTCGGGTACTTCCTGGAGTACAAAGACGACGTTAGGACAAAGCGGGAGTTCGAGATTAGCCTAGCGCAGGTCGTCGACCACGGTGAGTGGGAGGATTTGCACAACCAACGGTCCCTGGATCCCGTCCTCGTAGACGGGATCACAGAAGCGATGTGGTTGGCGTTCGATAACAAAGAACAGACGTATGAGTTGCCAACCTTAAAGCTGGCACCACCGAGGCTACGAAAACCAACTCCCGCGGCCAAGGTCGTACGTCTGAAGTCGGAGGACTGGAAGGACGAGCTGGCGGGCCAATACTACTACTACGAGGTGTGTGGGCAGCACAACGCGGCCGCAGCAAGGTCGCTGCTTGGCCGACACATATGGTGTACTTTTCGGCTGACGACTTCGAAGGGTACTTCCTTGTTAGTGCTCAGGACAATAAGAAGGACCTCAAGGCGTCTCCGAGACAGTTGAAACTTTCGATGAAAGACGTTCGGTGGCAGTGGAAGCACGTCGGTTTCCTGAGAGCTGTTATGGGGAACCCTAGCGGGAAACAAGAACAAGTCAAAAAATGGCGTGAATTTTGTACGATGACGCTCCATAAGACGCCGTACAACAACTTGTGGACTGTCGCGGATCAAAAGGGGGAGGATGCCATTAAGAAGCAAAACGCTGCCCTACGTTCTTATTTCCCGCTGACGATGGCCGAAGAGAATGTTTGAAAACTGGGTGTGGAATTTTTCGAGAAATGGGAGACAGGTAGATTGCTGGGCCACGACGGAGCAAAGTGGATCGTGAGGAAGAAGAAGGTCAAAAACGTCAAGTCGGGGGTCGCCTACATCGACAACGATAAGTTGGGCAGAAAGGAGGTCGTTTACAACATTCCTGTGAAGCCGCTGACGAAGAAAGGCAAAACGGAGAAAGAGGAGGGCGATTGGTTCATGCAAGTGCCTGAGCCGGACACACATTGTTGGATAGCGATGGAATCCCTCACCGACAATGAGAAGTGTCGCGTCCTTAAGAAGGTGCTTGCTTGCAAGGTGGCTTAGGTCCACGTCGGCTCCGCCTCGTTGGCGAAGCTCGGGAAGCTTAGTGTGCATTAAATGGTGCAATTGGTGAAGTGCGACCACGTGCTGATGCGGTTGTGGAATTACTACCAATTCAAGCGCGAGAAGAGGCCGGATGCGGATTGGATCAAAAAGTACCCTTTCTTGAAAACAAAGTCTGCAGTCTTCAAGGACTTCGAAAGTCGTGGATTGGATGACTATTTGTGGGATGGTAGCAGGAAATACGTTTTTGACTCCTTGCTGTTCAAGGATTGCCCGCCGTACATGGGTTGCGAAGAGGACCGCTCGATTGAGGCGACGAAAAAGTTGGTCGGCCACAGGAAGTTGTCCGTCGACTGGAGAAACAAAGTTATCTCCGTGTTGACTGGCAGTAGACTGAAGAGTCAGGAGATCGCACTTGCCGAAGGTATTGTGCACATAAAATAGAAAGACACGGGGGACGTGACATCCATCGCACCGTTTGGCAACAACCCTTTGGAGGCAGACATCAGGAGTGCAAAGTCGAAGGAGGCGGGTGGCTGCCACAAAGAGTCACCACGTTCGTCCTCCATCTATGCGAACCGGTTGACCTGGCGCTGTGGCCGCAAGCGATCGAGATTTTGAATTCCCATCTTCAGACGTGGTGTCTGTCGCATTAGACGCTCGTTGTTTTCGTGTCGCGGCAGCACAACCACTCGTTTCTGACCAACGTGCCCATCTTTCTTTCGTGAAGCTGCCGGAAGGGAATTGAGTAAGGAGGATTCAGCAGAAGAAAAGCTTCCCCGTCAGGAATAATTTGTACACGGAAAACGACCGTATGTACACACTCTTCAAGCGTGACGATTTGCTCGATAACGCGTCCCTCGTTTACGAGGGAAGACTGCCGAAGGGTGTTGCTGCTGCAGTGCGGTTGCCTCAAAGGGTTACCCAGATGGATGTGTCAGAGAATCCCTTCACGCCTTGCGACTGGTCGCAGACTGCGCCTGAACTACGGGGTAGTGTCTATAGGGACATGGAACGCAATCCGACCCAATTCATTGGCCTTCTTGATTTAATCAGCAAAAAGGGATTGGGTGTCGTCTTCCTTGGGAAGCCACACACAGAAAGCGTGTGGGAACTTCTGAAGGCAGGCAGACACGTTGTCGCGATGGAAGGAAACTCCGACCTGCTGCAATTCATGATGCAACTCGTCAAAAGCGAGGTCAACTCGGGGCCCCACAATTGCGAGTTCATGGTCAAGAAGGCGACACGGAATCTCGTGTGGAGCAACAAGACGGATATGTGGTTCAAGTTGAGTGAGAGGAAGAGGAACAAAGTATATGCCTTCTTGTTCTTGCAAATGTGGCCGACGAAGGACAATGATGCCGAGTACGTACGCCGCAAAGACCACATGTTCGTGTTGCTGGACAACTATCACTTCGCTTTCCGAATGAAATTGAAGAACTTCCTCGAAAGGCCACAGTCCCTGTACTTCGTCGAGTCCGAGGAGGAGTTGAAGTTCGATAGTTACACTTCCTTGATCTCCACGGACGACGAGGCAACCACCGGTGCTGAGTTCGATGCCAACGCGAAGGAGGAGGAGAGCGACACCGAGAGCCTGGACCTGCAATATGACCCACCTCCGATGGAGCACGCCTCAGGGTCCTCGTTGGCCGGTCCGTCAACAAACCCGGCATCCCTCGTGTCACCGATGGCCAAACCAGCGCCGAGTACGACCCCGATGAAGTCGTTGGAGAGACTGAAAGCTCTAGCTGTCCCCCCGCACGCATTGCGTCCCGGATTTGACATCCCGCCCGAGCATCTGTCTTGGAAGGATGACAACATTCACTTCCTTGTTGAGCCGCAAAGTCCTTCGCCTGAGGTGGACTGAGGCCATGACACGATTTGGCATCCAGGAGTCATCCAACCGGCGATCCAAAACGGCGAGTGGATCATGGTTGTCGCTATCCCGGGCGCAGGATGGGTGTCCGTCCCTCACAAGTCAAAGTCCAACTTCCTGCACCTCGCGAGGATTTCGGTCCTCCAAAAAGTGAGGGCCGAAAATGACTCGTTTGCACCCGACGACGTGTCCGTCATTTCCACCGTCGAACGACTGTTCAACGAACTTCATGACAAGTGCTAGTCGGAATTGAGGGAGGACTACTACGAGCCCCTTGAAGGGCATTGTGGATTGGAAAGTGTCCCCTCCCAGTGGGGCACATGGAAGTTTCAGGGGGAGCCCACCAGGCAGTGGAGGGGACGGGGGCGACATTGCAGGGGATGGCAAAAGAGTCCTGCCTAGTGGGGAGGGCGGGTCTCACGGCGACACCACGATAACGGAAGGCAGCAGTGGGGTGGCGGGTTGGGCCGTCGATCGACATCCGTCTACTGTCCCCGGGTCGGAGCATGCGGCACAGTCCGCCAACTTCCCAACTTCGTCCGCCGGCTCAGCGAGGGAGACGAGGGCAGCCTTGGTTGCTCTCGGTAGCCGCTCGGGCGAAACGTTAAAGTCTGTCGGGATCCGAACTACGTCCGTTGAGGTGCCGCCACAAGAGTCGGCCGTGTAGAGCTGGTCGGGGGTGGGGGTGCCGAGCCAAGATCCCTCATTCGGCAGCGGTGTTGTGAGGGACGGGAATGCGTCACCTGAGGGGGAGCGGCGGCCGTTGGGCTTGGAGCGAGAGGGTGCAAGTGGAGGGCCCAGCGACACGGAGACGACGAAGTTCACCAAGATCCGAACTTCTTCAGGTCGGGGGGGTCGGCCAGGGATTGTCGTGCCAGCGGGAGGGGAAGTGTGTGTGGAGACGTAAGGGCGGTCGTCGGGATTCGACGTAGGTTCGGGAGAAGGGGCTGACTTGCATGGAAGGGAAGGGGCGAGGGAAATGGAGGAAGGGAAGGAAGGGGAAAAAGGGGAGGAAGAAGGGGAAGAAGGGGAGGAAGGAGAGGAAGGAGAGGAAGGGGAAGAAACATAGTTGATTAAATTGCTTCAAGGAAAAGAGGGTGCCAAAGGGAACGTGTATATTGGAGATGACGAAGGGGAGGACAATGAGGACGATGCCGGATCTGGAAAGTCGTCTGACGAGTTCGGGCAACTGTACGGAGAGCATCACGAGGATGATGTCGACGACGATGTGACGACGATGCGGCGACAATGGAGATGGAGACACAGGTGGTCAGCAACCTTTCGGCAGATCGTGAAGACTATGAGGTCCAACCACTAACGTCTGTGATCGATCTCCAACATCAGTTCAACAAGGATTCCGTTGCTGTTAGCCCTTCTAAACCGAGTCGCCGTATAAACATTGAAGAAGCTATCGATGGCATCCTCGATGACCAGCACGTGTCCTCGCATCCGTCCACAACGAATGTCGCCGACAACCCTCGTAAAGTCAAACCTTTCGTGGCAGCTGCCTTCGCTTTCTCACCGCCGAACTCTCCGATACTAGCAGCCACCATCGCCAGCGGAGGGGAAGGCGAGATCGGGGGACAACAACATGTAACGTCCCCGAAAAAATCTAGGGTCGGCACTCCGGCTCTCGATGTGCTGGCCTTGCCCGTGCCAACTTCCCCGACGAAGGAGCGGAGGGACAAACCGGCTGGTAAGTTGTGAAGAACGCCACTCTGTCTGCGCGTCTAGACTTTCGAGAGCGACTCAGAGAGTGCAACTTCCTTCATAGTTCGGATGCCGGCGGACTTCTGTCTACACCATACATACAAGGAGTGACCACAATGTCCGGCGATGCAAGGAGTTGCTGATGCCAGCATACTACAGCCACCAGTCCTTCCAACTACGTGTGATCGACCTTCCTGTGAGTTGGCCAGGTTGCTGGTTGCGGGCAGGGCAGACTTCAATAAAAACAGAACACTACGTCAACGAAAGGATCTATTCTTCTATGAAGTGTGGTTTTATTGAAGCGTTCCAAAAAAAAAGCCGCCCCGGCTAAGAACCTGGCCAACTCAATGGAATGGTGGTTTTTTCTTCTCAGAAAGAGTGGTGGTTTTAGTCCACCGGTATCCACACTTCCTGTGTCGATCTGTAATGCGGTTAGTCTCTATATGCTTGCTGTGGGAAGAAGTCCGCTGAAATCCGGACTTTGGGGGATGTTGGTCTCCCTTTCTGTGGCTTGTTGTGGTTTTCCTTTATGAAGGGCGGGGGTGTCAAGCTTGAATGTGCTTGTCGTTTTGTTGTCCAGCCTCACACACGCAGCTCAGTGCTCTTGACCATGCTAAATCGGACTTCTATAATTGGATACGTCATGCGTCTTGTAGGTTATGTGGTTCTTTTACATTGTCACTTTCGTCGGACTCGTGTTGGGAAATGTGTATTCATTTTTGTTATGTATTTCTTCTGTTTTACAGGGGTAAGGTTATCTCGAATACGGAGGTCCTCGAAATATCCGGCACACCCCGGGTTCACGACAGAAAACAAGGATATGTTAAAGGCATTAGAGGTTGATGTCGAGATCGGAAAGAAGGAACATGCCATAGCCATTGAGGAGTGTATTTCCCTTCTGCCCGCAGAGAACGGGACATATCCATATTCTGTTAATAGGGGTCAGACCATGTATGAAAAATACTTAACAATGCATGGTGCAATAAAGGACAATCCTTAGAACTCCGTTTTTCACTTCTCTGCATGTGTGTTGCTCGATGTTGTGTAGTGCGCGGCACAACACGTGGAGCACACGGGGGAAGATTTGCTACATCGACGGGGCCTCAAAGCTTATGGGTTTTGGACGATATTGTACGAGGCCCGATGCCACCTCACACTGTTCTCTCTATCCTCACTGATGGTGAACTGCGAATTGCAGCAAAAGATCTTCTCACCCTTTTGCATATCGACGGAAGGGTGAATGATGACGTGGTTAATTTTTACATGGTGCTATTGAGGTCGACCACATGCAACAGAAAAAAACTGAGTCTTTTTTTTAAATATTTTTGAACTTTGGTGAGTGTAGAATCAGTTGTGAAAATTATGTGCACACCGTGTTTTAACCTTCGAAAATGAAACACACGATTACAGATGGTTGAATGAACTTGAATAACGTTAATGTTATCGATAAACAATAGATATTGTGTTTCGAAAGTGTTGAACCAAACGTTGGGGTATTGTCAATTTCAATGTTGAGCAAACTGTATTTTTAATGTTGTCACATCCTTGGACCAATATTATTATTATATTTATCACATCGTGTGATATGTTATAACCACATAAACGGACTGTTGCGTGATTGTTGAGCATTTGTTCACGCCACTAATAGATTCAGGATTTAACAATATCGTCAGGGTTATTCGAGTATTATGATGGATATTATCCAAGTCATTTCTTTTACAATTAATAATTTTTTTTTTCGAACTCGTTAAATATATTGAAACCTTGAAATTTTGTTTGACAATATTCAGTACATGCTTGATTAATATTTCAATTTGTTTATAAAAAAAAAAGTTCGGCTGCTTGTGAGCCGGACACGCAAATGAAGGTACTCCGTTTATATAAATATAATCGTCGTCTTTAAATAATTAGAATAAGAACGTTCATACAACTTCATGTAAGTATTACTGATGATAGTGCATCCGACCTTCTGAATTATAAAATGTTATAGATTCAATATACGTAATTTATGTATTTATAGCAACATAGGAGGTATCACGACCACTAGTACATATTCTACTATTATAGCATACATAGGACGTATCACGACTCCCAGATTAAGGATAATCACTTTCATTGCAAGTATCAACGATGTTGCTAATTATTATATATTGAGGGAGTATAAATAAATGTATAATGTAATATTAATTTTCGTAGTTTATCAACTTTAAACACTGTGAATAAAATGATACTCTACTATTATTATAGATGAAAATTTTCACCATTACTACTGTTGTTAGTTACCCTTACTTTATCATAGAAAGACAAATACTTGTATTCGTAATTTATAAAAAAAAATAATTTTTATTTTCATCGTTATATTATGTTTTTGTTGCTCGCTATGCCAATGCTTATCAAAATTTTGATTGCACTAACTACGTTCTTAAAGTGCAAAATTCGATAGTGGTTGTGCCAGATGTGGAAAATATTCACATATAAAACACTGAATACTTATTATATATATGAAAAACTATCGCCTTTCGTCTCCCCAATCTGTTATATTGTCTCTCTGTCCCTCTCTGTCTCTCTCTGTCTGTCTCTGTCTCTCTGTCTCTTTGTCTCTCTCTCTCTCTCTCTCTCTCTCTCTCTCTCTCTATCTCTATCTCTCTCTCTCTCTCTATCTCTCTCTAACACACACACACGCACGCACACATGACAAAAGGAAAGTACCACTGGTTACTCATGGTCTAAAATGCAATACAATGTAAAAAAACATCCCCACTTAACTCCCCAAACTGTTTTGGTTTCACATCATAAAAAAACTCAAATGAAATTTAACCTGTTCAGGATTTCATCATGTTTACTACTACCCAACATGTTTGTTAGCCTTTTTCTGTCTCTCTCTATTTAGATTCTCTCTTTTTTTTTTTTTTTTTCTCTCTCTCTCTCTCTCTCTCTCTCTCTCTCTCTCTCTCTCTCTCTCTCTCAGTCACACACAGACACAAACACACACACACGCACTTTCAAAACAAAAGTATCTCACAACAACTATCTCTCTTTCTCTCTCTCTCACACACACACACATACACACATACACACACACACACACACACACACGCACATACACATACACACACACACATATCTTTCGCAAACCTAAATCGTGTCGAAGAGGTGGTCATGCTCGCGTCCTCATGACGTTCGAAGTCAGTTAAGAGTGCAACCATCTCTCCGACAGAGTAATTGTTTTGCCGCCTCTCTCTCTCTCTCTTCGTTGATCGGTCATTCCTTCATTCCTCCCCTCTCTCTTTTGACAGAGGTTACCCCTCGCTCCCTCCCTCCTTCCTCTCTCATACACACGCACAAATATTGTAA